GTGGACTTAAGGTGACCCAGTAGGGTTTTCTAGGCAAAAGACGAACAGATGCGATTCGCCACTGCCTGCCTCTGCAGAGCAACCCCTGGACTGTCTTGGTGGTCTCCCATCCAAGTACTAAGCAGGTCCGACCCTGCTAAGCTTCCAGGATCTGACATGATGAGGCTAGCCTGGGCCATCCATTCCAACACTTCTCTGTCATTAAAGTGCACAGGCACTTTCAGTGCCCCCGTGACAAACATTTAAAGTGCAACTTTGCCCAATCCATTTATTATGCCCCAGTTGCTGCTGCTAGCTGCCCAAACCCTTCCTCCCTAGTGCTGGAAACACAAGCCTGCCCTGCACTCTGCCCCCCAAGCCAGGATTAGACCAGGTCCTCTGCTACCACTGGTGTTGCAACAGCTTCCCTGGTCTGTATAGTCTTAGCTCGGTTTCCAAAGACTTTCCATCTACCCAGAGGTCATTTCGTAGAAAAAGAGCTAGGGGAACTCATTAGCATAACTCATTAGCATATGCCACACCCCCTGACATCAGGGGCCCGGCAGCGGACCTGCAAGGCCAGCGGGAGTGCGAGGAAGCCCCGCCAAGGCCCTCCCTGGCCCCAGGCAGGCAGGGGTGGGGAGAGGCGGGGAGGAAGCATCTTACCCTCCCTCTTCTCCTGCCTCCTCCTGGCTGAATGAGGGCTGGAAGCAGGGCGGCCGGAAGCAGGGGGCGGGGCTTCGTCGTGTGCCCCGCCCCCCGCACCTCACCCGGGGGAACTGCGTTCCCCCGCGTTCCCCCCCGAAATGACCTCTGCATCTACCTCGGAGTACCCCCTGCATCTGTTCAGAACTGGCATCAGTGGTCAGGATGGTAGGGCATCTGCCACACCCCTGCCTGCTTTCACCAGGGAAAGATCGCCCAGATCACCAGCGCGTTTTCCAGCCTCATGCGGAGAGTTGCCTAGAGGGAGTGGAGTGTGACTCCTTTTGGCCTTGCCAATGGGGCTTTATGGAGTCCATTACAACTGGTTGGCGGGAGCAGGAGCTCATAGCTCACTGGAAGGACTTGTGCTCCTATGCAGCAGGCTTAGTCCCAAGCATCTCCCACTAAGAGAGAGCAAGGCCGGGAAAGAGAGACTTTGGAGAGTGGGTATTGGACTGCCAATGGTTCACTGTCTGGCCTAACTGGATGCAGTGGTAGGAGACTGAGGAATGACTACTTTCCCACATTTTTAAAGGCTGAAAACCACCATGGGTGGGGCTATACCCTCGTCACTATGCAATTTTCCTGACAGAGATGTCCCCACCCACTTGATCTGTTGTTTCCCTTACAGGAGAAATATGCATGCTTTGCCCCCATGGGGAAAATAACAGCTTTGAGGGGTTATACTGACAACAGTATAGGGGGATGGGTTACTCCTTGTCGTAATTCAGAGGCTGGTCCACCCAGCCTCTGGTCTCAGATTCAAAGAGACAAATTGCTTGAGATTATAGTGATGTTTATATCATGACGAACAAGGTGAGAACATAATCAAAGCAAGCTTGCAACATCCCTTCAGCTGCTGGGGACAACAGTGGATGAAATCCTTGGGCTGAGTGGCCCAGGGCCCATCTGCACTATTCCCCATCCACCAGAGAGTCCAGTGGCAAATTCGGCAAATGAATATAGCCTACCTAGACTCTGCTCTCAGGTGCTATGTTTATAGCAATGTCAGGAGGGGCTGAGGCTTAGTGGTAGAGTATCTACTGGGCATGCAGAAGGTCCCAGGTTCAATCCCCAGCTAGATTGGATCAGGTGATGGGAAGGACCTCCTCCTGAGACCCTGAGTAGATGATACTGACACCTTGATGGCCCAATAGTCTGATTCAAAATAAGGCAGCTTCATTTATAACAATGCTTATCTACCTTGTAGCTAGCACACCATCTCTAGCTAGCTAAGAACTCAGGCCTCAGCCTGTGTGCCGTGTGAATGACCATATACGGGATAGGACAGGGGCAATCAGGGAACCCTGGGAACGATTCATTATGGCCCCTCCCCCTGATAATGATCTTCCAATTTTATCCTCAACACGCTCCTTCTCCACAAGTACTCTGAAGCTGCCCCCCTTGGGACCTTCGTATAAGTCAGGTTTGCATTAACACTTATAAGGCACAACTCAACATATGAGAAGCAATTGGACAGCCTTAAATGATTGGAATCTCCAAATTTAGTTATTTGCTATAGCAACTGGAAGGCAGTCCTATATTTAGGGACAACTGGGTTTTTTTTTCCTGATTATTAAGTGTTTGAAGTGTTTTTAGCCTCCAGTAGGACTTGAAATTCAAATCACTGAACAATTCTGATTTTTTTTTCCTAGTGGATAATCTTTATTTACTGAAGGAGGAAAAAAGGCTTAATAGCCTTTGTGGGAATGCATGAACTGTCTGCATCCGGGTTCCCCCCTCTCTGTGATCATTTTTTAACTGTCTCTTAAAAGGGGACAAATCTCTCCACAGGGCTGGTTCCAGTGCCCTGGGCTCCCACAGCTTTAGATCTTCTACATCAATGCAATACGGATGTCCCAGTTTCCCTTAGATCTTAGGGAGACGTTAGCAGCTGTCTTGGATGATGCTTCAAGGTGTTTTATTTAGTGTGACACTCCAGGTCTTTCATGTAAACATCGCAAACGGAGGAAAAGTAGATGAAGCGATTAGACAGAAAACTTGGAGATGTGCTGTAGGAAATAACAGAGGCAGCCGTCAGTCTACAAGACTATTACAAGGCTGTTAACACTAGGGTGTTCTGGAGGACATTAGTTCTTAGGGTTGCCATAAGTCAGAAATAACTTCATGGCACTTAACATACACACACACACACACACCGTGCACAAAATAATGAATAGGACCACATGATGACCCACCTTGTGCAATGCTAACTGTGTAAGTCTTTGGCTCCTGGATTTTAAAAAATGCTATCAGTAGTAATTGTCTGTGGCCAATGGAAGTCACCTCTACTGACATCGATACCATGTCTGAAATGTTCTATAATTACCAGATTGTGTATGGTGTTCAGCCTCTCAGGTCTTGAAAGTAATTTCCCCACAACTTCTTTCTAGATACTATCAGTAGTTTGGGTATTAGACTTGGAACGGGAGACTTGTGTTCAAGTCCCACTCTGCCATGGAGGTTCACTGGGTGACCTTGGGCAAGTCACTCGGTCTTGGACAATGTAGGGGAAATGGGAGGAGGGAAGAATGATGTTGTAAGTTGCTTTGTGTCCCTATTGGGGGGGAGGGGTGTAACATTTAACTAGCATAAATTGGTAGCTACAATTCCAGATGTCAAGCCATGTACACACGAAATGTGTATGCAAAAAGGAAGGAAGTGCAGTGGGTTGGCGCATCTGGGCTCCAAATCTCACGTAGCCCTGAAGCTCACAGCATGACTTTGGGCCAGTCACACACTCTCAGCCTAACCTACCTCACAGGGCTGTTGTGAGGATCAAATGGGGGACAGTAACCATGAGGAAGAGATGGGTTAAAAAGAAGGGGACTGTGTTCATAATTGTTATGCAAATTATTTGAATAAGTCACAGACTCACTATACCCGTAATTCTATAAAGGATGACTGTTTTGAATGTTTCCTGCTGTGGCAACAATTTCTATGGCTTGGATCCTGCATGATCCCCCTTGCACCTCTTCTCTGACTGCTGCAGAGGCTTTCCTCCCCTGGGATGCTCAAATCCTGTACCGTTAGGACTTCTGTGTGCACAAGAGGAATGTTGTAGCATCAGAGAACTGAACTCCAGAGCAGAGAGCAGAGCACAAACATCACAGTATCCAAGCCAAAGCCTGTACTTTCTGAGGAAAAAAGACAAGGCTGGATCTAGGCTGAACTGGCCGTTTCAACTGCAGACTTCCCTCACATTGTTCCTCAGGGGGCAATTCTGCATAGATTTATGGTCATTCAAGGGTGACTTCGCAGTCAGTACGGCATTGCCCCCGGGGTATCTGAATGTGGTTTTGAGCTGCACCTTTCCCTCAGTGGTGAGAAAATGTGGAGCGAATGCCAGATGCAGAATTGCATCTCTCCCCCCCCCCCAGCAGCAGAAGGTTATGGAGATCAGACTCAGTGAGCTGTAATGGGTGGGGAGGGGAGGGGAGAAAGTTCTGCTCCACTGATGGGAAAGTTTAGTTTGGATCCAGTCCAGTCATTTGCCTTCTTTTATAACTGAAAATATGTGCCAGCCACAGGGACCCAGTGTCTGTGTATGTACATAAGAAGCCTTCTATAACAAGAAGAATGAAGAGAACATGGAAGAAATGTAAGAGGGGTTCATTCCCTACTGCCCCAAGCATTAAAAATAGAGTTACTCCTTAGAAGAATCTGGGTTTATTTACACACACACACACACACACACACACAAGACAAGCCTTTATTGGCATATACATGTAGATACAATAATCTAAAAGATTTATTTACATATTCCTGACAACATAGGTTGGGTCTGGGGTTCCCACAGTGTGTGACAATCAGAGGTTTGATCTCAGTTCTGGAGCGCAGGGTGTGTGATTCCGATCATGATTGTGTGGGGAAGCAGCTTCAGCCTTCCCTAATGGTGTTTTTCCTGAACCCAAACAGTCCGGGGGGGAAATATGCAGTCTGTTGGGCAAACCAATGTGTATTCTCCCCATTAGCTCACCTTCTGAAGCCTTTCCCCTCCACATACACTGCCGTTGTAATCTGTATCAGAGACTGTGTGGATGGGAACTGAATTTAGGTCTGTTGTAGTCAGCTCTCAGGTTTTGTAACTGACCTCTGTTGATGAATATCATTGCAGTCACTGATAGAAAACACAACCAGAAATGCACTTTAAAAACCCATTCTAGCCCATTAATCTCAGTGTTCTGTCAGGAGGCCGGGCTGAAAACCTTGCTGCCATCTCCTCCTTCCCTGCTGGACCCTGGCGGCCCGACAAAACCACCCAGCCCACTAAAATGATCTGCAGGGACCCACTGGTGTTTCCTTTTGTCTTTCAGGAGCAAGAGCTTGAGAGCTTGGCAGCCATTGAAGCCGAGCTGGAGAACGTGGCCCAGAAGCTCCATGCCCTACGGAGAGGCTGAAGCTTTTAAACTATGTGCTACCTGAGCGGGGGGAAAAGCAAGAAGTTTAAACTCACCCTTTGAAAACACTGCGATTTATTTTATTAATTTTTTTTTAAAAAGGAGTTATAATGGAGCAGTTCCATTCGGCATAGGAAGCCAGTTATCGGTAGAAGACAAGACTTTCCCCCTCTCTGTGTGTCCACAGTAGTCCTGCGCTTGAATTGCTTGCCATTCTGATTTTGTGCCCCCTTTATTGGCTATCAATTTTCTATTGTAACTTTTGGATTACAGCAACAGTGTGACTTACTTATGTATTTGCTGTTGAAAAAAAAAAGAGGGGGGGATAGGTTTGGGGGTTTCCCCCTCTTATTTTTGATTTTTTAAAAAATAATAATAATTAAAAGCCATGACAGCTTTCTAGAATGTTTTACTTCTACTATTAGGTTTACTGGATAAAATAACTTGCAATAACTTGTTGATCTTTTGATTACAAAAATGATGACTGACTATAATATATTCTATATAGAAATTAAGGACAACAATAAAAATACAATTTTGGGCTCCTTCATTTCTCCCTCTTAATCTTTAATTACTACCCCCTCCAGTGGTTCTACAAAGCACTGGATTTGGGCTGGAGGACCTGGGTTCAAATTACTACTCACAATGAAACTCACTGGTAACCTTGCACCAGTGAACCTCCAGCCTAGACAACCTCACAGGGATGTTGTGAGGACAAAATGGGATAACTGCCAAGCATGCCACACTAAATTCCTTGAAGGAAAAGCAGGATATAAATAAAAACACAAAGTAGGGTATATATTTCCATTTTTATTTTAAGGAATTGGTCACCTGTGGATACCTTTACTTTCTGACTCTCCAGTAGTTCATCTTAATTGCAAAGGTGTCCTCATTACGTCAGATCAAGATTTGGCATAGTGATTAGGAGAGTGGACTCTAATCTGGGAGAACTGGATTTGATTCCTCACTCCTCCACATGCAGCTACTGATGTGACCTTGGGTCAGTCACAAGTTCTTTCAGAGCTGTTCTCTCAAGAGCAGTTCTCTCAGAGATCTCTCAGCCTCACCTACCTCACAGAGTGTCTGTTGTGGGGAGGGAAAGGGAAAGGGAAAGGAGATTGTAAGCCGCTCTGAGACTCCTTTGGGTAGTGAAGGTTGGAGTATAAATCCAATCTCCTCTTCTTCTTCTTCTAATTTAAAAATACGAATTTGGGAGGCACACCAATAACTGTGAGGAATTTGATGGGGTTTTTTTGGTTTGGTATACATCTTTTTTTCTTACAACAGAAATCCAGAACAAGTATGCAAGTGTATATACAGCTTTGGTAGATAGTTCTGAGATTGTGTGGGTCAATATGGGGGTTACAAGTTTTCACCCCTACTTTATCAATAACCTAATTTTAGCCATGAAAGAGAAGAACAGGATCAACAGGATGGAAATAACCTGAGACAGGACTAGCTATACAAGGTAATAATTGTTTAATCGGACTGTGTTTTGATATGCCTTGTGAACCATTATCAATTTACCTCAATCATAGTTGAAATGGAGATCAACATGCTCTCCCTTCTGCTCTCAGCCGTCAAAGAGAACTGGGCTTCTTGAATGGGTTCCTCAGTGAGACTTGGATCTAGCTGGACTTCATTTTCTCAGTGCAGATGCACCTTAGTTGTTTACTTTTCCTTCTCAGAATACAAGTGCTGGAATCTAACCTAGGGCTGGCATAAGACCCTTCCTTTTCCCTCATAAACTTTATATTTTTGTAACATCTGTCTGATGAAGTATTCACACGCATAATATTTGATGTCATTTTGATTGGCCCTAATAAAAAGGTATGGCATGGATTTTCTCTCTTTATACTATCAGTACCACCCCTAAGCAGAGTTTTACACCCTTCAAAATTCATTAACTTCGAAGGATTCAACTCTGTTTAGGATGCCTCTACAAGCAGTTTCTCCTTCCAATGAGATCTTGGCCCAGAATTATGATATGGTGACTCCAGTGATAGAAAGAAAATGACTCTGATGACAAGAAAATGACTCTGGAAGTCTGCATACAAGGAATCGAGAGTGGGGGGGGGGAACTCAACCCGCTTCCGGATTATTTTCCATGGCTTCCCACCCTCAAACCACCCACAGCCCTCACCAGTCACTGACACGAATGCTGGATAGAGTCATTGTAGTAAGGCATTTCTTTATTTTTTAATCATGTGTTTGAAAAAGGATAGTTTTGTCTCCAAAGCAGACACAAACAACAACAGAAGTTAATTAAGTGAATTTTACTTTACTGTTAAAAATCAAAAGTTTGTCTGTCACAGCCTGGTGTTTTGGCAAATAAAACAAAAAACCAATGGGACAAATTACTATTGAAATTGATGGTCAGAGAAGAAAAAGCACCATATTATTTCAAAAGGATGTTTGTCATGCGGTACGATTAAAAAGCCAAGGAGCTAGGGTTTTTTTTGTTGGTTTTTATATAGACCAGATTTTTTTTCTTACTTTATAATATATATTTATTTATCTTATATATATGTGTGTGTGTGTGTGCGCATGTGCATCACACACACACAAATTAAATACAAAACAATTTAGATTTTCATAAAAGTAATTTTATGAACAGGACCAAAGCGATCACAACACTCACGCTTAATAATACTATATAAAGGGGGTGTCAGTCACATACAGACAGTGATGTTCACAGGCAAACTTGGCATGAGCAAAAACATGGTCCCAAGTAGGTTGGACTCTGATCTGGAATTGACAGTGCTATGCATGCCTCAACACACACACAAACACACAAATTAATTTTCTTAAAAAAAAAAACTCACTGAGTAGGATCTAGTAGTGTATTTCCTTTGAGAGAGATATCTTGACAGTAGGCACCTTCCCATCAATGGAAGGCACTAAAAGATCCAACCTGTTCATTCTTTATTAAGTAAAGACATTCTTGAGGATGTATGAGGATGGTAAAGAGGAGACCAATAAAATGGAATATTTTGGGATCTCCCTTGGAGGATGCACATGGATCAAGGAAGGGATCTACAGAAATAAATAATCTAAGAAAATTACATCTAATGCATTTTTACAGCACTGCTTTTCGTTTTTCCTTTTTTTACAAAGAGATAAAATACCTCTACCATTCTTGTTGGCTGCACACAGTCTGAAATATAGAAATCACTATTTTATACTTACATATTTGCAATATTTAAATACTATATGTCTCTTCAAACATTGAAACGGTATAGTAGGAAGGTACTGTGTATATGATGGAAGATTAATGTTAAATGTGGCATGGTCACTTGGCAAGAAAAGGAAGACGAGATCCTCCCCCCCCCCCCCCCCCGAATGGGCTTCATAATCCCTTCTGGTTTTTGTAATTAAACTGAACAGTGCACCCAGAAACATGTTTTCCAGTTTAACAGCCAGAACAAGATATTAGATTATGTTCAGTTAGGCCTGGTCTGCACAAACAAAAGACAACCAACATGCCCTGCCAAAATAAGGTCTGGCCCCTGAAAGTGTGTACCACAATAACGTTTGCTGTTCTTTGAGGTACCACACATCACTTTGCGGCTGTTCCTGGACACTACCTGGTATGACAGTGGTTGAGGTTTTAGTGCATTGATTGCAATACCATATTAAGCAATGCCCTAGATGTCAGGGGGAACTCTTCCCCCCGATCTTTGAGTTTTTTGTGTACAGTTTTTTCTCCCATGGGAGAATATTCAAACAAGCAAACCAGTAGTCTGAAGTGATATAGTCTAGGGACAAATTTTACCTCATAATCTGTGAACCTCAGCTGTGCTGGAAGGGGCGTTGAAAGCTGATTAAAACCAAATATTTAATTCTGGTTATATTAGTGGGATCATGAAGGAAAGAAAATTCGACATGCACACAGGGAGAGCTGAAAAGAGGATTGTCTTAAAGAGGTTTGTTTGTTTAGAAAAAACACTCTGTGGTAAAAAGTGATAATCAACAAATGTCCATTAACAAAGCTCAGATGCATTGGAGAAGTAGAAACCAATGCTCTATTTTTGCTACAGACTTTACCCTATGAATTCTGCTACAAGGATGGGGGGGAGGGGGTGTCCTTGTGGCTCTTAATTAAAAGTATAATTGGTTAAACAGCTAATATCCACTACCACATAAAAAACATTTCAAGCCACATAAAACCCTATTGAATCTATTTTCAAAAGAAGGAGAAAAAGGGAAGGGTAATGCTTTTGATTTAGCGGGTACAAAACAAAAACAGGCAAAAAAGACAGGAGCGGGAACAGGGCTAGACCCTTGTGATTTTAAGTCTGCAAACACAACAATAATAATTCACATAATATTAAAGATACATAAACCCTAATCCTCTTCTTGTAAAAATACAGTTCATTGCTACGAATAATTTACACAAACAGGCTACAACTTTACAGCAGACGTTAAAAGAATATTTGTTCAGTCTCAACACCCAACTGAGCCGCTCTTAGCAGCCCAATGGCTAATTGCATTACATTCACACTGAAGGTGCTAGGTTTCCTCATTTTGCTAGAAAGAGAGGCTTTCAGAAGGAGGTGTGGAAGTTGATGGGGCATTTTGAAATCTCCTGGGCCACAAACATCCCAGACTTCATGGGCTCTTTCCCCTGCCTGTCCCTGCTCGCCCACAGTGATCGGGCCAGAACGTGTCACAGCAGCAGCGCAAACACATGTACTAAGGCACCTGCAGAGCAAAAGAGCTTGCAAGACGCTGGAGCTTCAAGTCAACCCTGCGCTTCCAGGTAGCGTGGGAAGCAGCCATCTGGAAGAGGCCTAAGGCTGCCAGCTGGTTCAATAGAAGCCTAATCGGCTTTACCCCGCAGCAACTTAAAGAACCCGGTACAACAAATATTTGCCTAAGAGCCGAGAAGTTTGCACTGGTTTAAAGAACAAAAATGGCAGTCTCTGTAGGCAACAGCCAAGCGGCTGCATTTTCCCCTGCCGCTGATAGGAGCGCGTGATTAGAATATCTGTTCTAGTATCACTATATTGTTTATAAATTTGTATGTATCATTATGTACAATTACGTACATAACATTTTAAAAAGGTAGGAAGACCGAAATAAAAAGTTATTTACTGCCTTAAAAAAAAAATTAACCTGATTTTAATTCTTCCAGGCTTTTTGCAACCAATGTAGGATTGGCCAGACTGAAAAATGAGGGTTCAGTCAATGGGGAGACTCTGTAGTAACATCTATTCACACAGAGACAATCCCATGCAGCCGGAGGAACCCATCAGCAGAACCTTCCAATACCCCAGCACAGGCTCCAAACTGAATTCTCTAAACTAAAAAGCAGAATGTTTCCTACAACTTCTCAGCTCTTATCATGCAAAGGTCTGCAAAGGACAGGCTTTCAAGGGCAGCTTCATATGTGTACTTACCAGGCTCAACATTCCCAGGGTTTGGAATGCATGATGCCCCACATGTGCTAGGGAGACATGCCAAAGAACCTGCTTCTGAGAATACAGCAACCTTGTGGCTGAGAATCAGTAGAACCTTATTTTGGCTACTGGAAATACATTCTTGGCAACAGGGTTGCTGCTTGGGAGAAGACAGATGGCACTTTAGGAACGGTGAGTCACTTCCCAAGTTTAGGATGTCTGACAGCCCTCAACTTTGGTCCACAGCTTGTGAATCAGCTCTTTTTTTAAATTTCAAAAGCAGATATGTACCAGTGCACACATACTTTCATCCTTCACATCCCCTCTGCCATGTTTATAATACTTTGGAAACAGTGGCAAAACTGTTCCAGGGATTGGTGCGTGTGCGTACGTGACTACATCCTACCCCACAAGTGCTTGACAAAGTCAGCTTTTCCTGGTTTAAATTGAGCCACACCAAAAACAAACAAACAACCCCACTTTGTTTGTATATGGATCCGTGTTTAATATCAGCCTGTGGTATTCCAAAAGGAGGACATCTGGCTGATCCACACCATAGAATGCAAATGAATGAGGCTTCTCTGAAAGGGCTCGTCCAAGATTGGGGGGGGACGGGGGACGGGGACGACAACAACTAAGAAATAAAGTAGTGCAAAACAGGCCTACCAGAATTTAGATGCCCCGTCCCTTGTGCATGAAAAATACCATGCATATCAAGATCTAAAAATGCTTAGGTGTGGTAAGTTTATCACAAAGTGGCCTGTGGTGCCTAATCACTGAACCATTTAAAAATCTTATGCGAGCTAAAGGGCTGCAATATGAGCATTGCCCAAAGATGAAAAAAATCTGTTTTGTACTGATGTAACTCCCGTGTTCTGTTAGGGTCTACAATCTGCAATCACGCACACTTGCTTTCCTTGGGGTATTTACGAACTAGTATACCTGGATTCTATGAATGGCGAGAGTTTTATAGGGAAACAAATTGTGACAAAAATTAGGGCCGATTTCCCACAAGCTGTTGCAGCGCGCTGGCTCTTCCCTTTGCCCCGATAGTATGTGTCAATTTCACACTAAGTGCTGCATGGCTGCATTTTGCCCCGCAGTTTCACCTGATTTCCCCCGCCTCTACTCAATCCTCAAAAAACAGGATTGAGTAGAGGCAGGAAAAATCGGGCAAAGCTGCAGGGCAAAATGCAGCTGCGCAGCACTTAGTGTGAAACTGACATGTACGATCCGGGCAAAGGGAAGAGCCAGTGTGCTGCAGCAGCTTGTGGGAAATCGGTCTAGAAGTTTATTGGTCAAATCCAGCTGTAATGCTTACTACAGAATATTTCCAGGACAGGAAGCACTGACACTGGTGAAATTCTTATAGACCTGACTACTGAATTAAACTGGTTGGAGTCAAGATCACAACTGCATTTTTATAAGATGCTGCCATAAGACTTTCAAGAATTCATAAAAGAGGCTTAATAACAATAACCAGAATGATCTGTAAACAAATGTAAAATGCACAATCATATTTCAGTAGTTTTATTACGGAGAAATAAAGCAGTGCAAAATAGGCCAACCAAAATTTAGAAGGCAGCCATTTAAAGAAAAAATAATTCATTGTTAAAATCAGGAAACAGCATAAAAGACACCATCATTGGATCCAATACTCAGATTCATGTAAACATAGTTAGTTTTGAAATGTCTCCCATTACTAAATCAAACCAAACAGAATCTCTCCTCTTCTCTCTCCATCAGTTCAAATTTAATTTAATATTGCCATTTCATTTTGGGGGTGTGGGGGGGGGAGAGAAAGAGAAAGATTAATAAGTAAAAAAGAGAGAATTCCAAAACCCAGTGATGCCATAGTAAAATCATATACCCTAGTAGGGTGCTCCCTGAGGTCATCAGTGTCTGGAACTACCCCATGCTTCTTTTCTCCTGTTCTCCCGTTATATTTAGTATGGCACAACATGACGTCATCAGTCCCAACAGCCAGTGAGGTGGAGCAGGGGTGGAACAAATGGCAACATGTTTTGCCTTACTAAACAATATAGGGAGCTCCTTTGGGTTGTGGTCACTTGCCAAGGGGAAACTGGGTTCCAGCTTGCATTGCTCACAAGAACAAGGGATGGGGGGGTGGGTTCTGATTGCAATCTTTTTTCTAAATAAAAAATCATGAACTTGCGAGAGGCTTATGGCATCAAAGAGGTCTATAAATCCATGCTCAACCTACTTTTCGCCCCTGCCTAATGCTTGTTAAAAATTTGCACCCAAATCCCTACCCGTTTTTCTTTACTGTGATCTCTCAGCAACTGTCGATAACAGAATGCATCATTCAGAACCGCAATGACCCAAACTGGTTTCAGAAACCCAAGATGAATGTCTGATGATCTCTCTGTTGAAACCTCTGAACAGAACCCACCTACTTTTAAAGGGAGCTTATATCAATTACTACTTACCGCAAACTACTTAAAAATACATAGCAAGCCAAGAATTCTTCCCCCATATGGACCGTTCTAGGGCATTCCCACAGCTGGAAAGGGCAGGCCAATATGCAATCTATAAAATTCTCTTGGCATTCCCCTTCTCTCTTTCTCTGTCCCAAAATCTCATCAGGTCTTCCCACCTTCTCTTTCCAGACCAGAAATTCAAGAATGTTTGACATCACTGGGGGATTAAGACTAGTTCATTCTCTTAAGGGGGGGGGGGGCTTTCTGGTATGGCTGCTTAGGGTCTATGAGCATTCCCTGTCCATCATCCGCCCCCCCCCCCCTTACAGCCCTATGACATAATGCATGATGTTGGCCATGTGCAGGCATGATTCACATCTTTCTTCCACCTCTCCAAAAAGGGAGGCACACATTAACTTCAGATGCATTCACCATGAGCACAGGAAGTGGATTCTGGTAAGCAGGTGAACTGACCCTTAGACCCTAAACTTGTGTAAAATGTTCAACTGCTCCACTGATGCTTAGACAACTCAACATTTTAAAAATGTTTTCCTTCAAATAATTAGGGATCGTTTCATCAAATAATTTAGGGATTGTTTCAAAAAGGAAAACTTACTAGCAGAACCTTCTCTTAATAATCTTAACTGGTCCAAGCTACTTTCGATATAATAGCTAGAACTGGCCAAGGCTGTACAAGACTCTCAATTCAGTGGAAAGAAACACTTAAACACTCCTGGTTTTACAGCCAGACAGTGCAACAGGTGTACAGATGAGTACACGTTACCCCTTCAAGAATTATCCCACAGAGTCAACCCAGAAGAGCGAAAGGGGCAGTAAAGTAAAAAGCTTGGCCTGTCTCTGAGTGAAATGAACTGTAGGGAAGTCATAATCATAGCTGACCCCTGTTAAGTCTCAAGACAGAAAGCAGAAGAACTGCTGAGGGAAAGGAAAGAGCCTGCTTGAAGGCAACCTTCCCAGGACTCCCTTGTGCCCCAGGGTGGCAACATGACCAATGGCCACAGAGTCATATAGGCTTTGCCCCGGCACAGAACCTTTTCAGTGCCCAATGAAACAATCTGTGCGCTCACTTGCCCTGCTCTTTGGAGTGAGCTGGAAAGGAAGCGAAGAAGGACTGTTGGAATTCAACTGGGTAATGTTCTCAAACGCCTTCCTTATCAGTTCTGTGAGGTTTACTGGTCACTAATGATTACAAAGGAAAACAAAACAAAAACAAGTGATATCCCCTTTCCCATCCTCCCATAGTAAGGGGTCTAGTGTTTAAAAAGACACACACACACACACACAGACACACACACACACAGACACACAAGTGTGTCTAAAATCACTACAGAGCTGCAGTAGGAATCTGATGAAGTGGACCCAGATCACTAAATTTGTCTTTTTCCTTTAAAAAAAAAATCACGTTGAACTAATAGAGATTTCTTTCTTTTTTTTTTCTCTTTAAAGTAGTAGTTGCATTACCAACCAGCCTGCTTTGATCCTGGGGCCTAGGGTTCTCTCCCTCAGTCCACGGCGCCGGTCTGGGTTATTGAGAGGAAGCTTTTGTGGCCAATGTGGCCACACAGTGCTGCTGAAAGCTTGGGGACATGGCCGAGTTGCAACCTAGTCTCTGGTGCTGGAGCTTGACGGAGGGGGTGGTCTCGCTGTCCACTATCCAGGGGTCTTTGCCCACCATGCTCCGGCAGCCATTGCTCGCGCAGCATGTCCGCTCCCCTGCTAAGTTGCCGGTCTGCTCGGCCAGGTGCTTGCTACGGTTCACCTCGGGCGCTTGCCCCTGCAGGACGGCAGCTATGTGGTTGAGGAGGTCCGTGAAGAATTCAGAGACGCCCTCATAACCTGGGGGGAAAGAAACAAAGAAGGATTCAGGCACCGCCATCTCCCTGATCATTCGTTCACTTTAAAGATTTATACACTCTTAACCTAAAGCAGGTTCACGAAGGAGACTAATTGATAGTTCAGGCTGCTTTTCTAAACTTACTCCCCCACCCTGAATTAATACCAGGCAGCTCCTTGTATGTTTACATACCCTGTTGCTGTAGATCACTGTGAAGGGATACTACTAATTAGATATTTAGTGGGTTTGTAATTTCCCCACGTTTTTGCTATAGAAAAAAACACTCTGGGAATAATTTTAAAAAAAAGTTTAAAAAACTACCCAATGCAACCAAGTTGGCAAGAGAAAAAAAGATAGCATATTTAAGGAGAGCTGGATTCAGGTTCAGTGGTACCTTAGAGACCAATAAGATTTTCAGGGTATAATCCTTTAAGTGTCAGAGTTTCCTTTGCCAGGTATATGACACAGAGAGTTTCAACTTGTAAGCTTATACCACGAAAATCTTGCTGACCTCTAAAGTGCAGCTGAACTCAAATCCAGCTCTTCTACTGCAGACCAGCATTTAAGGATTGATTTTGCTCATTCCCTCCCCTCTCTCACACCAACCAAGAACTATAGCTTGCCCAAGGTCATTTAGCAGCTGCAAGTGGAGGAGTGGGGAATCAAACCCGGTTCTCCCAGATTAGAGTCCACGCACTTAACCACTACACCAAACTGGCTACACCAACTGGGAGATGTCAAGACAGAAAGGAAGTGGAGCGGGCTGGGAGAGGCTGAGAGGGTACAGAGAAGGGCAGAAGAGAAGCGCCAAGGAGGAGGTGAGACATTGGCCGGAGAAGACAACCAGACCTGGACAGGCCTGGTGGAACTGCCCCTCAGCAGTGAGTCTCTGCTGACCATGGAAGACACTTAGGGTGTCCCGCTGCTCCTTGGTGGTGCTTCTAGCCATATACTGGCAACCCTGCTGCTTGTCTGCCTGCCTAAACTGGCTGACGATGGTGTTGAAGGGACCTCAGGCTCATTCTCCTAGGAGATTTCAACATCTATGGCAAGGCCTTGTTGTCTGATGTGACTCAGGATCTCATGGCCTCTATGGCAAACTTGTGCCTGTCTCAAATTATATCTGACCTTATAGAATTGAGCTTTTTGGTCCCCTGTTCAGGTCAAAAGGATTATCATCCGGAGCCGGGGGAGTTTAATAAACTACTTTACTGGTAGAAGGATATATTATTTCTTTGGAGTTACTGGGCCCTTGAGATTATGCAGGGTAGAGAAAGAGCTGAGATGCTCCTGAAAGACGACGCAGGAAGTTGTCTTGCAATATGACTGGGAAGGAAAAATAAAGAATTATCTTTATAACCATTCTGTGGGGACTGACTGGAGAAAGAAGAACTGAGGGAATAAGAACACCTCTCCTCTCAGCTGACAATGGTTGGGGGAGGGGAGAGACACACAATGCATTTTTAGCTACAATATTTAAGGGAAATTATTTTCCAGAGAATGATAAATCCTCATGACAGAATAAAATAAACATAGAATAAAACAGAAAAACCTGGATGTTTTTAGACACTACAGCAAGAAATGTTAATCTAAACAGACAAGAGATGTATCCTGAAACTGAATTAAGGTTCTTTTTGTTGTTGTTGAATATTTCAGTTCACAGAACCAATTTTTCCATTCTCAGACTCCAATTTCTGTTTCTCTGTCACACAATGTGTTTCTTTTCCCTAAGGGAAAGCACCACATGCTATGCGTGCTGTTGGAAATATCAGTGCTATATCAGAGCCCCCTTGCAAAGAAATTGCGTTACACACTAATATATGTGCATCTGGGAAAACAGAGGGGGCCAGTTTCTCTGTATCTGCATATGCCAGTGCTCAAGATTAGCATGCACTCAAGTGAGAAGAATCTTGATCTCTTTTACATAAATACTTATTCAGAAGGTTCTTCCCCATTCTTCTTTTACACGGATCATGTGATGTATTCCATTGAAAAGGTATCAGAATTTCACAGCACTTTTTTATCTTTAATACTTTACTTATAAAATTATTTTGAATGCTTTAAATATTACTTTTTAAAAAAAACTTATAATTATTTTAGTTACAATATTTTAATTTTAATTACATTAAAAATTTTAAAAAAGAAATTAGCGTATCTACTGGGCATATTGTTTAACTGGTACGAACACCTGTGTACCATAGCTTTTGTCTGTTTTCTGGAACACTGATGTTGTACACCTTTTTGAGCCTGTGGGCAGCTTTGGAATTCTGACACAAAGTGGTGGGCACAACCGCAAAATGGCTGCCACAGGAGGATGAGCTGACCACCAAATGGCTGCCACATAGGCAGAGGAAGCCCAAGTGTAGGCGAGAACAGGGGTAGTCAACTAGAGATGCAGGGATTAGACCTAGGAATTCCTGTGGAAAAAAGTGGATGTTCTACCACTGATCCATGATGGCCCCGTGACTTTGTACTGATGAGAAGTATCAGGAATGACTGGAGTGCCTAGTATGCTCAGAGTATAGCACCACCCTGGGCTAATCCACGAAAGCTGGGTGGGTCTTACAAGGCCACAAGCAAGTAAATTATGGCAGTTATACCTAAAGAGAGAAGAAAAGATTGTAGAGGAGCCGCTGTAAAGTTAAGACGGTAAACAAAGGCAGCTCTCGAGCAGGAGAAAAGTGGGATGTGCAGATGCTGATAATCAAAATAAAACCCGCCTGCCCCATTTCACACAGACCTAAACAGATGTTGAATTAAGTGTGCTGTGGATGGACTCTGCATGGCTCGCAGTGGCTCCCTCTCACCTGGGAATGCATTGATGTCAATCACGGCATGCTGACCAGTCTGGTTGTTAATGATGATGTCAATCCCAAAGAGAGACACCCCTAGGGCCTGCCGCAGCGCCTTCGAGATCGCTCGTATGACCTCGTCGTTTGGCCTCTCAAACACACCTTCTATTTTATCAAGCTATATAAAGAGAAGAGGGGACAGCGGAAAAACAACGAGTTTAAGAACTGGAGAATATGGATCATCTCAGCAGATTAAAAGGAAAGCTCATTAATAGGTTATATGAAAGACTATAACAAATGACATCTTCACTGTATGTGGTGATTTAATTACTTCATTTGTACCCTAGTTTTCTCCCTAATGCCGACTCAGCGTGGTTTATAACTGGTGTCCTGGCCCCGCTGATGGACCTCCTGATGGCACCTGGTATTTTTGGCCACTGTGTGACAGAGTGTTGGACTGGATGGGCCACCGGCCTGATCCAACATTGGCTTCTCTTATGTTCTTATAACATTTCCCCTTCCATTTTATCCTCACAACAACTTTGTAAGTTCGGTGGGGCTGAGAGAAAACTGACTAGCTGGAGATCACCTTCCGTGGCACAATGGGGATTTGAGCCTGGGTCTCTCAGATCCTAGTCCGATGCTCTAATCACTACACTGTCTTGCCTCTCACTGCAACGTTCGCTCTGTTAGATGCTGTGGGCATCGTCTGAGGTAAAAATGTGATATTCACAGCATGATCTCATAAGCAAATACTCAAAAGGAAAATTATGCTGGAGCTGGCAACTTATGTAACTTCTACAGAGGCAGAAAATATGTCCTCTTTTTTGGGAGGTGGGGCTCACACAATTAAATGTTGCTCCTTGCAAAACAACATCTGAACATAGGAAAACGGCATGAGAGGAAGGAGGCTAGGCTAGACCCCATGTGTCCAACGTGCTAGTTTTCTGTGTGAAGAGAATTATTTTTTTACATGAAGGAGATTCCTATAAAGTGAGCTGCTACTGTCTCAAGGGCTCAGGCCCGTAGCGACAGTGGGGCTATTCGGGGCTCCACCCCCTTTCTTAAAGACACAGCCCCACAGGATTTTTTCTAAAAACTCTTTTAAAAACATTTTTTAAAGGCGAGTGCAGCAGCAAAAGCTCTTGCTTGGGGCTTCTGCCACCCTCCCTGCCTCCTTTCCTTTGGCAGCCCCCTTAAAATTTTAAGGCCTATCTATTGGCCTGCAAGTGCTGCAACCCAGACACAGTTCAGTGAGAAGCAGGCCTAATTCTTTACTGGGACACAAGAGGAAGAAATCTCTCCGACACTGTATTCCACAGGTATGCACCCCAATGATTACAAAAACATGGACCCTGGATAGATTTTATTTATTATTTTTTATTTATTTTATATCCCGTCCTTCCACATGGGCTCAGGGCGGCTAACGTAAGAGGCAAATGCCATACATAAAACAATTTAAAACCAATAAATAATCATTGCAATTAAAATTGGTGCTCAACAGTAAACTATAACAATTCCAAGATGGGGATTCCAATGATACACTCCAGGGAGCGCTGATGTCTCTTCTGGTTAGTACTTCACTTTGTCAGTTCTTCCATCCCAGGGCCAGCGCACCTTGTAGAAAATTCCACCAACAAAGATGACAACACATTGGTGGTACAGTGGCGGCTCCTACTCGAAAGCCTGGCGGAAGAGCTCCGTCTTACAGGCCCTGCGGAACTGTACTAGGTCCTGCAGGGCCCTGATCTCTTCCGGGAGCTCATTCCTCCAGGTAGGAGCCGCCACCGAAAAAGCCCTGGCCCTGGTAGCAGCATATTTAGCAACCTTTGGGGCTGGGATAACCAACAGGTGTTGTGCCCCTGACCGTAGTGCCCTTGGGGGAACATATGGGGAAAGGCGGTCCCTCAGGTAAGCCGGACCCTGGCCATAGTGCAGGGGCTGCAGTCTGTCTAGGACAAAGGGAGGCCCGTGTCTGAAATCCCTACTCAGCCATGACAGCTTGCTGGGTGACCTTGGGCCAGTCACCTATTGCAGGCTAAAGTATTCTCGAGACATTCCTGGTTGATCCCAAGTAATCCCTTGTTCAACAGAAAACAGTAATTAAACCACAGCACTTTCAAAAGTTCAAAGCTCTTCAGTCACATTAATTTCTTGTTATGTTCTACAATAGGCAGGTCAGAAGTATTACCCATGTCTCCCAGCTGGAGGAAGACCGGCTTGTCTAAGGTCGCCCAGCAAGTCTGTGAAAGAGGACAGCTTCTAATCTATTCCTGGGCTACACCAGCAAAGAACTGCCTCTAACTGAGAAATCCCTCAATGAGGAACATTGAGGTCCCTCTGCTATTTGTACTGTAGCAGAGATAAGTCGTTAAGTCTTGTTTTTCACAAAGAGGCTTGTAGCACTTACTGCTGTTAGGACTGAAGAGGATTCTGGCTTTGATACATTGTGGCTGTTGAAAAATATCGATTCTCTATCTGCAGTCGGGAGAGAGGTAAAAGAAAAAACCCCAAGGGTGTTAAACAAGCTATAATTCTGAAAGGTGGGAATATGCAGATATCAAGTTATTAGCATACACAGCAAAAATGCTTCCTTTTAAATCTAAATTATCTACTTTAGACCAACACAGCGGCCCACCTGCATCTAAATGATCTTGGTTCCTAATAGGATTTTAGCTCACCAAAGCCAACACTAGGGGGCAGCACAGTCCATCAACTAAGACACACATTTCCATCAACCATATACAATCTCCAAATTTTATCATCATGCCTACAGGTGAGCTAGTTCTGTTTCAGCATCAGTACTGCAATAGCCCATAGAACAGATAATGAGACAGCAGCCTTGTTGCAGAAGGCAGAAAGAAGCAATATGCACAGCCTTTAAAGAACGAAAGGTTTTAAAATGACAAAGTTCAAAATGGCAAGACCCAAACTGCTACAGCAGCAGCAGATATTGATAGAGCTTGGCACCTTTTGCTTGGTTAAAGATTAGAAGACAGCTCTTTCTCTGGATTGTTACTGTTGGGGGGGCACTTCAACATTAAAATGATGTTAAAGAAAAACGTTTAAAATGTTAAATAAAGTACAGGCACAATGGAGAGCATTGCTCATGATTAGTGATGCTTCAGGTACTGTCCAGTAGGTGCCTGTGATACCCACATACCAGTATTCCATACAAAACTGCCGTTGTAATGTATACCATGTAAGGGAAGAATCATATTTCTTCAAGGGACAATATACTGTGGTTTGATTGTAGGAAAAGTAAGACTTGCATCTTTACTTTAAGGAGAAACACATGCATCCAATTCAAACAGTGAGAAATACCTAAGCATTTCCTGCATCCCCCACCCCCCGGCCAATCACTGGGCAGGATGAGGATGAAGGTTTTTTTTAAAAATCGGTACTGTCCTCCTGACAAAATGAATTTCTGGGGGGGGGGGAACCCCACACACAATTTTGCCCCCAAGCAACAAATCATTCATTTTGATTGCTCTAAAGACATCAAAATGACAATCTCTTATATTCAGGCTTATATTAAGACTTGAGAGTCTGCACTATTTATCAGGCCCAAGGGGGTTGGCCACATGTCAAAGTCCATGGCCACTAGAGCACCCCCCTTTGCATCTTGCTTGGTTATGCCTGACTGGCAGGCATCCTGTCTGCCTGCAGTTTAGACGATGCTTTGTAGCGTGCGTCTTTCTACTCTCCCCCGTGGGAAATTTGCCTTGAATTTTGATCAGCACTGCCCCTCTTGTCCTTAACACAGCTCTAGTTCTTGGATCTTTGTTCTTAGCCCCTTTTGGACACACTTACTACTTTTCACCTGCTACAGAAGTTACTGCAACTGCCTTACCCTGTAAATAACTTGGTTATGTGTCCTTAATGACCCACGTGGAAACTCATGCAAGATCACTAGGGTTAGTTCGATGATCAGGACGGGGGGGGGGGGATTATAAGATTAAATTTCTCTGGTCATGGAAGTCGTTGACAGGAGGGCCAAACCAGACAAAACACCAATGGGAGTTCTATGTATGGAGCTCCACTACTCAATGTACAGAGCTCCCAGTGATTTATTCCTTTTAAGTAACAGATGTATGGAGCCCCAATTTGGATGAGGACTGCAGTGTGGAGGGGGGGGGGCTTTAACCCTCCCCCCTCCCTCACTGTTTTCCCTACCTGAAACAACCCTGAAGAGCTGCAATTTGCCAATTGGACAAACATATAGGTCCTGATCCAAAATGAGGTCCTGAGCACCAGCTATTTAAAAGAAAAAAAACAAACACAGTTCTCTTAAGGCAACAAAAGCTTTTAAAGAAAACGTTGGCTCCGGGGGCCTCCACTCAGTGGCAAAGTGACTGGCGAAGGAAGCTTCCTAGAGGATGTGATGAAATTGCACCCAAGCTGGTTTCCGAGAGGATGGGACAAGGTGAGGGGAAAGGAAACTCGCCTCTCTTGTGCCGGAGAGACCTGGCACTCTGAAGGCACTCAGCCTGGCCACCCAGCCACCCTTAGGAGCTGAGTTCAGAACACAAGAATGAAGTTCAAGGTCGGAGGCCTGTGGCGGAAACTACCCAGGAGCGCCTACAAAGCCTTAAGTCACCCAGTGCTCTAAGGAGAGTTCTCTTCCCCTCCTGACTTTCCCTGTGTGCTCCAACAGTTACACAACAACTGCTCCCCATCATGCGGTCCCTTCCTCTTAGGTCTTCTACCGCTGTCTCGGAAGAAGGGAGTGCTGTTACGTTGCAGCCAACTGACCACAACCCCATCCACAGGGCACCCCAGACAAGAGATGTCAAGGAGATTTGCCATTGCCTTCCTCTGCAGAGCAACCCTGGTCTTCCTTGGGGCTCTCCCACCCAAGGACTGACTGTGACTGACCCCGCTTAGCTCCCAAGCCCTGATGAGCCTGGACTGGGTTATTTGGGCTGCTGCTGTCTCAGAACCTGAATGAAATCCAACACTTTAATTTAGGGTAAAGGAGCCTTTCTGAGGACGACGACACGGGACAGTGCGGGATCGTCTGAGCACAGGTTGAAGGACACACAGAATACGCTGCAACTGAATAGAATAAAGAAAGTAAAGGAGGGAAAGCACTCTGACATTTTGTCCCAGGTGTGTTGTTACACAGGAAATAAGAAGTTCCTTGTCCGTTGCCTGTATAGTAACATGCTAGAAACAGAGAAGCTTTCCCCTTTCCCCAACAGAGCCTTAACATGCAATCCCACCGCTTAAATCTTCCCCCTTCCCAATTGAAATCTTCCTCTTGAGCTGCGGTCCTCCACAACACATCCCCCTGTTCCCAAGAGTCCCCCCGGAGGCCCAGGATTAGCTTTTCAAGAAAGGCAGGTTGCTGCAAGGGGAGAACTCTTGTCCTGTAAACTCATTCTATTCAGCTGTCCGTGCAGAAGCAGCATTACAGGAGCTTCTGGCAACAGCACCTTCCCCAGCCTTGTCTGGTTTGCTTTTAGATGGAAACCAGAAATACCCCACTGTCAGTCTCTCCTCATGCCAGAACAGGACTACTGCTCCAGTCTATTGATTCTGACCGACACATAAAACAGGTTGCTACATATGGAGAGTTCCACACAAGGACTGTATGCTGAAGGAATAACTCTCAGAGAGTCGAGGGGCTTGGAAGGTATTGAAAGTACAGACCCTCCCGCTCAGTTTAAATAAAAGTTTAAGAAATGCTGATGATCAGGTTGGGAAGCTTTTCGGTTTCTCATCCCTGCTTGGTTCAGATTGAAAATCCCCCCGCTTTGATTTCAGGTTTCCCAGGGCTTTTTTTGTACAAAAAGCCCAGCAGGAACTCATTAGCATAACAGGCCACACCCAACAGCTGGAACTCATTAGCATAGTAGGCCACCTGCCACCACAGCTCATTAGCATATTAGGCTGCAGCCCCGTGTTGCCAAAAGTGTGGTTATCCAGCCACACCCACCTTTTGCTTCTTATTCTGTTTACCTTGTTTGTTGTCAAAACCCAGGCCCTTTTTTGGTAGCAGGGACTCCTTTGCATGTTAGGCCACACACCCCTAATGTAGCCAATCCTAATGAGTTTCTGCTGTTGGGTGTGGCCTATTATGCTAATGAGTTCCTGCTGGGTGTGGCCAACTCAGGAGCCAGCCGGAACTCCGTTCCTGTGCGCTCCTGCCCAAAAATAGCCCTGAGGTTTCCTATCTGCAAACTGAACCTGTCAGTTTTATATCTGTGCCACTTTCTGTCTCCTTGATACCAGGTTCTCCCGTATTCTCAACAATATTCTTGCATCTATTAGCTGATGATTTAAAAACAAATTAAGACAAAACCAGCAATGAAAACAGGGAAAACGAAAAGACTCGCAGCCGTCACCTAGAAACACAAAAAGAAATGAGAAATGGAGTGTGTGTGTGTGTGTGTGAACATCACTGTTAAAAAGCGCTGCTCTGCTTCTGGCACCCTGTCAACGGTATTCTTTCAGACTGATGCCTGCAGCGCTTTGCTGCTCTCTGACAGACTTTACCTGAAACGCCAGCTGAGAAGTTCTTGAGAGACGGCCTCTTCACCACACTGTATGACTCTCCAACCACGAAGACTTTATAGAGGACGGCGTTATGGTTGATGAAGCTCTGAATCACACAGGGGGGCTGGATGGCCTTCAGGCCTTCCTGGTTGAATATGATAGCCATCTGGAAAACAAACACTTATCTTTTCCACTGCTCACATTAGTCACAAATGTGATTGCTGTGTATATAACTACTATCATGTCAGTGTTTCCAACTGGAGTGTTTACGACATGTGTGACATGAACATGCATCTGACTGGGGCATAATTTAAAGATCCCCCCCCCATGCATGGAGGTTGCCTATATATTCTTTGACCTCTGCATGGAACACCTGCATGTGCACAGGTGTATGTTGACTACACTCCTGTGCATAAGATGTGACGATTATGTTTGACATCTAATGTACATGGCTGTCTTACATGTGCAGAGCAATGCCCTGGTTTGAGGGTGAAACTCTATGGTAAAATCGCCCTCAAACAATAGAGCTTTGTCCTGCGTTTGCCATGTGACATGATGACATCACTTCCATGTGATGCCATCACATTGGCAATGTTGTTGTTTTGGGGTGGGCAGAAGCCCCAAAAAGCAAGCAATCTCTCACCTCCACCTGGGGAATGGGAACTCTATGCCCACAGGCTCAAAAAGGTTGGGGACCTGTGTTTTTAGAGGAACGGGGCCACCTTTTCTTCTCCCAGGGGAAGCTTCTGCCAGTTAGCAAAATGGCTCAGGCGGAAACTGGGAACAGGTTTCTGTGGTGGGCACCAACTGGCTACTGCCCATGCCATCAGCACCTATCCCCCCCTACCTCCAGTTCCAGAACAGCTTTACAACTGTTTAATTATTTTTTAAATGAATACACTGATGGCTTAATTAAGAACTGACTTACTGTTGTGTGAATCTGTTATGCAAAATGCAGAGCCAGGGTGACAACTGTGGTTCAAGATACCCAGGCTGACCCACTTCAGCCTCGGAGTCTTGATGAAATTTGAACGGTCTTTCTAGACTGTTTTCATTCACCCTCGAAGAAAAGGCTCAACAAGATCTAGTGCACATAAGGGATTCTATATAAATAGAAATGACATTTCTAAGCTTCTACAAGAAGCATCAATTGATGGTTAAGACTTCCTATTTCCTTTTTTGGGTTTTTGTTTTTTTTTGCATACCACATCTGTTTTCCTCAGAAAATATCTATTGCCACTGCAGTGCTAATTGCTTATGCTGCAGTTCAGACAGTGGTCCATCTAGCTTTCTGGCTGGGGAGCTACGGCTACAATCCCAAGAACACCTTTCTTAGAATAAACCCACTGAATAAAATTGGGCTTACTTCTGAGCAGACCTGCTTAGCAGTAATAGTAACAACTCCCATAGACCTATGAGCAAAACTGGCATGGGCAAATCCCCCCTCCCGAATCTTGTTGCCCTAAGTGGCAACCTGGACACATTATCAGACAGTACCCAGTCTTGGTTGGGTACTCACTTCATGAGAGTTGGTTCCATGGGCCACTCTTGTCTTGCAAACTACAGGAATAAAACAGATATGCAACCTGTGAGCGCATGAAGCTGAGCATAGCAAAATGCTTAACAGCAGTTCAAACATGCCTGATTGGACATGCAGCCCTTCAACTTGGCTAAAACTAGTTGCTGATGAGTCAAATCCTTCACCTTTCACTTGGATTGAGTTGGGTAGCAAAGTATCGCCCCACATAATGAAATGTCATCCACATAATCATACAGCTGGGCAGGCACCAGAGGCAATATAACCAAAGGTCAAATCAGAGTACAGTGCAACACCAGTTGAAGCAAGGAGCGAGTATAATGTTGGACTAAGCTGCGGGAGACCCAGGTTCAAATCCCCACCCTGCTTGAGCCAATCACTCTCTGTGAGCATAGCCTACCACACAGGGCTAAGATAAAATGAAGGAGGGCAGAATAATATTGCAAGGCACTTTCTGTCCCCATTGAGTAGAAACGCAGGGTATAATTATCTAAGTAAATGTAAATAAAAATGCCATGGCTAGAAAGAGAAAGCTTCAGATGAGCTACAGGTGATCTAGTGTGCAAACCTTGACACACTTTCCTGCTCAAGGGTGCTTACTAGCAGTGTTCCCCCTAAGCTGAGTTAGTGTGAGCTAGCTCACAGTTTTTTAGCCTCCGGCTCACACACTTTTGTCTTAACTCAGTAGCCAAATCACCTGTTCACAACTTCAATGCCAGTAGCTCACAAAGCAGAATTTAACTCACAGGTCTCCATAGCTTAGAAGGAGCATTGCTTACTGGCTCATCTAGTGTGAAAACGCCAGCTTCTACTGCCAATATAAGGAAATATTTGCCTCTGCCACAGTGACGCCGTTTTTTAATGAGCAAAAGTCACTGATTCTTATTCAATTTCACTTGGACATTTTGCTCTGATTGCTGTTACCCGAATTGTTCACTGCCAGTGCATCTGAACAAATGCAGCTCACAAAACAAGCCAGATGCAGCCTAAAGTGCAACCACTGCCCATGGTCAAAGGTACTCACCAATCCTGGTAGCTCGGAACGATTACAATAAACTGCAAAACTTGTATATAAACTTTAGCTTTGCTTTAGTATCTGCATGTGCATCTTTTCATCTTAAAAAAAAATTTTTTTTTGCACTGCCTTGGTTACCAGCATCTCATATGGAGCAATAATTCAAGAGTTCTCTTAGTATGGCAAGACATTTGGTTACGTACTAAATGGGAATGCTATTCCACTCTTCTCTATTTGCTGCAAGGTGTCTTCTCCATATGTGCTTGTCAGCTCCATAAATGGTGGAGAACAGATCCTCTCATCTGCAACACATACAAAATGGAGGATTTAATTAAGCTCTTGGCTTCCCAGCTGGTGCCACTGTGGGGATTCCTGCAGAAAAATCTCAGAACTGTTATGATTACACTAATTTCATGGTTCTGATTATTTTGTTACTGTTACTGCTATGGGTCTTATTGCAAACTGCTATTATTTACCAACGGTTATGCGCCCTGTCAGTTTTTCCTTGGCATTATCAACTGTTTTAACTCATACAAATGGAAGCTGTACCCTAAGAGTGCAAGACATAAGCATTTCAGCCCTGACCTGGATAGCCCAGGCAAGCCCGATCTCGTCAGATCTCGGAAGCTAAGTAGGGTTTACTCTGCCCAGTACTTCGATGGAAGACCTCCTTGGAATACCAGCAGTCAGGAGGACAGGGGCAGGCTTTTTTCTGTCACCTCTCTTAATATCCTCCAGACCCCCCCAGTAGAGTTCAGTCACCAGTGGTCCCCATGACTTCCAGGTGCACACACACTCACACATGAAAAAATACAAAAAAACAAAACAAAAAACCACAACAAAAATACAAAAACAAAACAAAAAACAATATAAGTCTACAGGAAACGCAGATTCAGAGCTCGGAAGCACAGAAATACTAAGTACAGCCAGCTGTATGATATCTGTATGTACAGCCATTCCTATGACCCCACCCCCAAATCTGCAGTGCAGCACAAATTAGGCTGCGCCCTGACCCCTGCCAAGCAAGAAGCTTCAGATATGTCAAGATTCAATGAAGATAAAATGCATCTCAGAGCAACCTTAGCCGTGGAGGACAGGGAAGAGTGGAAAAAGCTGATGTAATCGGAGTGGACATAAGAAGCAAGAGAGGAAATTAGAGGCACCCACTTCAATATTATCTGGCTGCATATGATTCACTTAAGCTTAGGCAAACACAGTCCGATGACTGATTCCTCACCTTGCTTGCAAGCTCATTTCAAACTGTAAGGCTTAAGCATACAACTTTCCCAACCTTCAGCTGAATTTGGTTCCAATAGTAACTGCTCTACTTGTTCGAGGAGCACAAAGCTGGAACCAAGAGTCCCCTTGGCACTTTCTATTTCCCCAAAAGTGGAGCCAAGAGCTTACAGGACCAACGTTACGCTGCTCATGTGACAACTCCTACCAGTGGAGGTGGGGGTCTGTGTATGCTCAAAAACTGCACTCCAACCTGACTACGAGTCAGGAGGATTACAATGAAATTCATCCCACATGTGAAAGACTGGCTGCGGCAGGGAGAGGCAGGGCTGTTTTCTGATCCTGGGGCCACTCACTGATCATAATGAATTTTAGGAGAGATGCAGCCTGATAGCATGTAAAAACACAGGCTGGCAGACAGATTGAGGCTCTGAGGCTGACTTAGATCTAAAAAGAAAAGAGAATCCAAAGTTTCTCGGACTTCAAAGCTTTTGTCTCATCACTAGGATAAAACAAGCATCAGAATCTGAAAGTGACAGTGTTGCAATATTTATACATTTCTGCCACAGAAGAGACCCCCAACTTGGCTTAATTTGAGAACTCCCTTCGTTTAGAGAGACACGGGAACATCTCTCGCCTTGGCCGAGTTCCCACTCATATGCCTGAAGTTCACAAATAACGTTGCCAGCCATGCAAATTCAGCGGGATGTCCGGTTCCACCTGGGTTCCCTCCATTTGTTTCCTGTACAGATAAAAGCCGGGGGGGGGGGGGAATCCAGAATGCTCATGACTTATGAATCACCACGGCATATTTTCAGTGCACACACTGTACCACTGCCACCCAGTCAAACAAGAAGGGGGGGGGGGGGATAGGTGACTGATCTGAAGCACTGTCCTAAGTAGACACATACGCATCCAAAAAGAGAGTCAGCAGCAAATGCCATTGGCTTACGCCTCTCCTTGCATTGCTGATACTTAGCTGTTCTGAAGCATGTCCCCAATTGGCTGTATTGTCTGAACAGGACTCCTGCAAGCACTGATTCAGCTGCAATAGTATGGTACCCCCAACGACATATAGCAGATGGGAAGAGGATAGTGTTGCTGCAGTTCACATGAGGCAGGTAGTGGAAACTAGGGTTGCCAGAACACATGGCAACTGGTGGGAGGTTGGGGGGGGGGTAAGCCATAACATTGCGTGCATCACTATATCATTTCTGGGGGAAACCTGGAAGTGACATAGGGTAGCTCTAGGAGTTTCCAGATATTCCTAGAGCTACCTTCTGTCACTTCTGGATTTTCTCTTGAAGTGATGTAACAGTGCATGTGATGCCCCAGGGGACTGGCAAGCCCAGTGGATCCCCATTATAACATTTATCAGTTGCATTCAACATCAAGGTCATTTTAACTCTCTGAATGAGAGGTCCATCACTGGCTATTAGCCACAAGGTATAGATAGGAACTCTCGGTCTCGGGCAAGTGATGCTCTATATTCTGGGGGTTGGGGGGGGGGGGCAACAGTGGGAGGGCTTCTAGTGTCCTGGCCCCACTGGTGGACCTCCTGATGGCACCTGGTATTTTTCGCCACTGTGTGACAGAGTGTTGGACTGGATGGGCCACTGGCCTGATCCAACATTGGCTTCTCTTATGATCTTATGAAAGATTTCAAAGAACTGTAGATGCAGTAGCTCAAACTAGATTTATACCAATTTGATCTCACGAGCTTTTGACAGAATTAGACCCATTTAAAAGGAAGGTTCCCCAGCTTGAGTAATCATTAGACTACATTAGAAAGAGGGCTCAGTTTGAGACAGGGTGGAGCAAGCCCCACAAGCTGCATGCATTCACAGCTAAATCTCTATCTGGGAACACATGGAGCAGTCTATGGGACTTGCACCTGCACACACACACAGAGTACGTTTCCTCCAAACTGGGCAACCACAGGCTATCCTGCACAGAATTAGTCTGTGAGATTTCATGTCAAAGGAAGTAGATTCCAGCCAGGCCTGGGCGACGGCACTTCTCTTTTCAGAATTCTGTTGCTGGCGGCC